GATGCTTGATAAAGGAGCTGGGTCTGGTGGTCTGTGTTGAACCCACGAGCATATGCAACATTGTCCAAAACATCACTGCCAGAGAGGCCATACCTCTCAGCCACTGCTAGAAGCCGTTCTGGCCTGAAGGTACCTTCAGTATCAATGTACATGGCCTTTCCTTCACCTCCACCTCGGTCAATTGGAAGCTAAAGGAACAATTGAAATGATCATATTCTTTATAGAGTTGATCAATTTTGACATGTTGACTCTATAATTCTTCTATAATTCTCCAATAAAGGAAAAACACATTAAATGACAATCAGGGGCAGAGAAGCATTTCCTTTTGACAAAAATCCAGTTAGTAGTAGACATGAAAATCACCACATGATAGCACATGCATGTGGAGCCTTGTCAGTTATAGTGCAATCCAGATCAAACTTCACATTGGTTTTTTTTTTTTTTTAAAACTTCACTTTATTGAGCAGAGTTCATTCCTGAGGGTTGCGAACATTCTAATGAGGCCTGTCAATGCCACAGAAGCATCTCCGCAAGTATAAAGAATGAACAAGAAAAAAAAAGAGGTTGCTTCAATCCCATACTAAGAATATGAATACAAGAAAAATAAATAAACCAAAAAAAAAAAGAAAAAAATTTTTTTTCTACCGTATTTCTTTTTTTGTGGTACCGAGGATTTAACTTAAGACCTTGTGCTTGCCAGGAAAGCACTTATTCTAATGAGCTAACTCCCTGGCCCAAAAGAAAATAATTTTTTTTGAGATAGGGTTTCTGTATGTCATTTAGGCTAGCCCTGAACTCACAACACAGCCCAGGCTGGCCTCCCAACTTGCATGCAACCCTCCAGCCAATGTTTCGAAGGCTGGGATTACAGGCATGCACCACTATTCCTGGCCAAGAATTTTTACTTTTCTTTGTATATTAGGGAAAAATCTACAGGGTGTTCAGAGTCTCACTACTATGTTTACAGCCTCCCAAGAGCTGGGATTACAGGCATGCACTACCACGCCCAGTCTCAATTACTATCTCAGTGTGCCCTGGGGGGTGGGGCCAGCAAGGCAGGCCCCGGGATGAACCCCTGGCCCCTGCGACTAATTGCAGGCACTTTAATCCGCTGAGCTATCTGGCCAGCCCTAAGAATTTTTACTTTTTTAAGAAATAAAGGGGGACCGGGGAGATGGTTCAGTGGAATAAGCACTTCCCTGGCAAGTACAAGGACCTGAGTTCAATCCCCGGTTCCGCAAAAAAAAAAAAAAA